TTTCTCTCCCTGCCAGTCCCTTTGTTTGAAGAATTTGGAGGAAACCTATGACTGACCTTACTGCGTGGCTTACTCTGAAATGTCACGATGTAAAAGTGGGCTCAGTTTACTCAATAGCTTGTCTACATTCAGCCTCATCTGCTTACTTCCATGACAAAAGCAGAGGAAAGTTTTTACTCCCCTTAACACTGAAGAGGTGGTGTGGCCATGAGAGAATGTGAACTGAAGTCTATTCCTGCTCATGCATCAGCAGGATTGCCACCCAAACATCAAACGTAGGGCCAAATTCTGTCCTCCCTTACCTCTGGGCAGCCACATTGAAGACAGTGGGGTTGCATACAGGTAATTAAGCCAAATTTGGCCTGCAGATTTTTAGTGGTGAATGATATTTGACAAACAAAGAGCTAGTTTGACTCTAGCAGCCTTCAGGCTCTTGAGTTTGCAGGGCTGGCAGTTTAGAACAAACCAGCTTGGAAGATGAGCAGGCTTGATCTGGTATTGCTGGGTCTAGACTAAAAAGAGATCCTGCAGCAGTGAATCTCAGAGCCTGGGTCAACTGACTTGGGCTTGCAGGGCTTTCACTAGGGGGCTAAAAATAGCAGTGTAGATGTTCTCACTTGGGCTGGAGCCCAGGCTCTGAGGCCCTCCCCTCTTGCCGGGCTTCAGAGCCCCAGGCTTCAAACTGAGCAGGAACGTCTACACTGCTATTTTTTGCCCTGTAGTGCAAGCCCAAGTTAGTTGACTCGGGCTTTCAGACTCGCTGCTCCAGGGTTTTTTCACTTGTTTTTGCTGGGCAGACATACCCACTGAGACCAAATAAGCTTGGAACACAATGTCACCCTTTCAGGTGAAACCCACACTCCATAGGTACACACAGGGCCGGATTTAGGAGCAGGAGACCCAGGTGACCACCTGCCAGACTTGGGGGGCACTGGGCTCGGGGTGCAGTTTTTGTTGTTAGAGACAAAAGGTAAAATAGACTGTTTGAATTAACAGGTTTCATGTATTCTGTGTTTGGATTCATTTTTCACTAACCTCCTAGAATGTTCTGAACCTTTGTAGAATCTTGTGGAACCTTCCAGACTTTTTGAGAACTACATTTCTTTGAACCTCCTAGAACGTTGTCAGCCATGACCTCGTGGGTATATAAGGGGCGGGGCATCGCCAGTCAGTCTGTAAGATATAAGAACCAATTGAAGTGAAGTGAGAGCCCAGCAAAATTGAGAAAAGTGATTTTTTGAACTAAAGGATTAGGGTTAACATTCTAAGGCTATCTCCTCCTGTAACACTATTTAATTCTGCTTCACCCAGTATTGGTGCACAGTTCCATTTCTTAATGTTAGTACATTTCAGTTATTCTTAAAAGTAAAAATTTCTATAAAGCTTAGAGGAAACTAATTATTTTTATTTGCATATATATGGCATGAATAAATACAGATGTACAGATCCTAGAGTGCAAATTTATCGTCTTATATGACAAGGATAAATCATGCATGCAAATTGTGCAAAGTTCAAAGTTGTGAAATGGGCTACAAATGCAATAAAAAATAAGGTATTCAAAAGTTGAATAAATGGAGCTGGGGAGCACTGAAGATGCTCCTTGCCTGGGTGCTATTTGGTCTAGGGCCGGCCTGGGTACACATCTGCCCTCTTGCTCCCCTCCAAACTACAAGTTGAGATTGTGATACTGAAGTTTCACAGAACAAATACCAAACTGTACTGACTTCTTACCTTCCCCCCGTACTTTGAGCCCAGCTACACCTGCGCTTAATTTTATACTACTGGCTGTATACAACAGGGAATCAACAAGAGAGCCAGTGGGAAAACCCCTGAATGTTTATAAGGAAAAGTAAAACGAATCAACTGCATATTTTCCCCCGTTGCCAAGTTAAATACCTTCACTGAAATATGTTATCTAATACCAGTGCAGTTAGCATTAACACTGCTAGCTAGTAATCTCTTGATTATGCATCTTTCCTATATTATGAATTCATTTCTGGTAAATTATGTGTTCTGCCAACACCCTAACAATAAATGTTTACCATTTCTTCAAAGTACAAAGTACATTATTAATGGAAATTTGCCATCAGCATATCAAATCCACTTATAAGATGTGATTGAAATTCCTCTTGATATACTAGTAGCAGCAAACTGAGTCTACAGACGCTTACTACAATGAGTAGTCATATTTGAAATCAATGGGAATACTCATAATACCAAACACTAAGCCCAGCAGTAGTTGTATGCAGAATTGGACTCTAAGTAGCTGGAAAAAAATTTGGTTAGTTTTTATTGCTTTTTCTTAAATGCCACCAGTTTTATTCTATAGCACTGCAGCACTTAGCAAAACACTATGAAACCATAGAGATCAATAAACTGGAAGTTATAAAGTATAAAAGGGGAGCAGGGTGAGGGACTGAATGGAAAATAAGCCAAGCTTTTTCAAAAAATGGGTGTCGTCAGTCCATATTTAGCTTTAGGCACCTATTTTTGTAAATCTGTGCCTGATACGGTGATTTTCACCTTCAAAGATCATAAAGGGTAAAATATATGTATATAAATAATATAAATGTTTTATAAATATTTGTATAAATTATACAAGTTCTCAATTACAGCATTTCAATATTTCACTAAAATTGTTAATTTGAACCTTTAAGTCATCACTGACAAATGTAGTTACTACTAGAAGTAGAACAATATGTGTAGTAAACTGGTTTGGTTAAATCATATGAATTGGCATATAAATTTAAAATACTGTTGCCTTATTTTTTTAAATTATTGCAAGATATAGGCTAATATTTGGTTGAGAGGCACTAGTCTGAAACACTTAATAGATATTCTAGTAATCAGTCACAAAGCATTCACCAAAGGGAGAATGTAAAAGTATTTATTCTGTGCAGTGCATGTAAAGGGTACATTTACGTATGTAAAGTATAAATCTATAGCTACACTCTTAATATTAGAGTTCCTTACTCCACCTATAGAAGCATTCAATTTGGGACGCTTTAATCTGGCTCTTGCTGAGTATCTCACATTATGCTCTCATGCAGACTTGCTCTTTCTTTCTTTCTGAAAGTACATGTTTGGGTTTTTTATCGATAGACACTAGTTAGAAGATAATTGAAAGGACAAAAGATTTTATTGATAGTTTTTAGATATTCAGGGTGAAAGTACATGTGTAATTTGTTCATAGATTCTGTTTACAACATACTAGATATTTGTAAGGACAAAGGTAAAACTTTGTTGATTGTGTTTACATGTGTCTTTAAGTGTTGCCAGTCTATTCCTTTCCACCAGGGCCATTACCAGGGTGGGGCAAGCAGGGCAGCCGCCCACAGCACAAAGTCGTGGGAGCAAAGCTGTGGGGGTGGAAAAATGAGGGGGGGATAGGTAGGGGGCGCAAATATGCTTGTTTGCCTCAGGCACCTAAATGCCTGCTTACAGTGATGCTTTCCAGTATACATGAGAAATTCTGAACTTTTGAAGAAAATACCATATAATTTCTGCAAATCATTCCATGCTGTAATCTCCTGGAGCTAAGCCAAGAAGGCAGTACTAAAAGTGAATCCTTATTAGGCTGAAGTTTCTAGGGCTCAGGTTATAGTCCCATTTGGAGCTAGATCTCAGGTTCAAATTTGATGGTTCTAAAATCTCAAAGGTAGCTCTTTAAATATTTCTACCAGCTGGGAATATTTCATCTGTAGATTCCAAGATCACCTAGTCTGACCATCTGTATAACACAGACCACGGAACTGCCTTGAAATAATTCCTGTTTGAACTAGAGTATTGAAAAGAATTGACACTGTTGGAGAATGTTTTGGGTTGGAGAGTCCAAATCAGCTTCTTTAACTTTGAGGGGGAGGAAAAGGAGTTTGGTTTTAAGTTATAATTTTGGCTCCTCTTGAATGTATAGGTAACTTTTTTATGTCTGACTTGGGGCATGGTTTTTATTTTTGTATTCTCTTGGCAAATACAGGGCATGATTCTACCCCCTTATTTAAGCTGAGTAATTACCTTACTTTCCCCTCCATGTATTAGAGATGTAGCCTGCACAATACCTTAATCCACCTAGATGCCTATCTGTGCTAATTTGCCAACATGTTTTCTTGAAGTAACACAGGGTGAAATCCTGTCCCCATTGAAGTTAATGGGAGTTTTGTCACTGACTTTAATAGGGTCAGGATTTCCCTTAGATGATTTCTCCTATTAGATATAATTGCCTAAGAACAGACCACACATCAAAATGTTCTAACTTGTACCTATGGGTAAGTTAGAAGATGGAGCAGGGCTAGAGAGGATACTGATAGGAAGGTAATGGCTTCCAAAATGCTTAGATTGCTGTATGATCTCTCAAGCTTTGGTGTCTGGTAACTCTGTTCTAAGGTGAGCATATTGTTACGGAAGTAAAAACAAATGCTTTATAACTCTAACTCTCTATAATGTTATAACTCTTCAGTGCTCCTGGATGCTGTCCCAAATACCCAGTCACCCTGGCTGAGCATGAGACTGAAGTGAGTTACACTGGAGTCAACGTATGCCCAAATTTCAGACCTCTCCTAGGTGGAGCCAACTCTCCCAACGCTCTACATTTGTTCTGCTTTGAAAGGAAGGTTAGGCTGAGAAACAGTCTTGGAGTTCATCACTAATGAGCACAACATATGCCTATAGCCAGTTGTAGCTGTTTCTAGTTGGGCAAAGGATCCATCTCCCTTATTGTCAGGTAGTCCCATGTTAATGCCTCTCCTTAATTATTGAACATAATGTGGCCTTTAAAACTGCCTGTTTTGGAAAGTGTTTTGGAAACAACTGTTGCAATGAATTTTGTGTGACCGCATCAAGAAGTTGTTCGAAACTTGAATCATAACTTTCATCGAATGAGGAAACACCTCAACAAATGACACACACCAAAGTATTGTGTTAAAAAAAATTTCACTTCATCTTTTTTTGATGCTGACTGAGTGGGATTTTTTTTATTTAACCAGTTGAGATTTTGGCTGAAATCTCTTTAAAACTCTTTAGGCTGCTGTTATGAATCTTTTCAAAGAGATCCTTCCTGGAGTCAGGGAAATTCTCTCCAGTGCCACAACTTCTGATGTCCATGCATTGCTCAGTTGCATGTTGGAGAAAGATGTTATATCCAAGGAATACCATCAGACCTTACTCCAGGAAAAAGACAGAGAAGACCTAGCAAGGAAGATATCTCTAACACTTGTGGAAAAATGGGACTTGTGTTTGAACACCTTAGTTCCTCTCCGTTGTTTAAAACTGTACACTAAGATGCCACAAGACATCACAGATAATGAGTCATCTCTGAACAGGGGTATAGCTGGTAAGTTTGCTTTTTATTTTACATTTATTAAACAACGCTTTTCAAAATTTCTTCCCTTTAAGTTCTTTCCTTTGTTGTATGGCTGTTTGACTTGGTACAGTGGTGTAGATGTGCATAGTAACATAATAGATGTAGGATGAGGGAGAGAGACCAAAATGCCATGTGACAATAATTTGAGTTTTTAAAATAAACCCTCCCTAGGATAGCTAAGTAGATAACAATTTTTATAATCAAGACCTATTGAAAACTTCTCATTTGTGCCCCTTTGAAGGATTAGAGAGAGTGTGCAATGGGAGTAGAAAGAAGATATTAGAGACTATGATTAGGGCAGTGCTTCTCAAACTGGTACACAGATTCAGGAGCATTTTACTGTGCTGGTCCATGGTGACTTGGTCACATGGTGCAAGCTCCATCTCCTGTAAGTTTGTAGGTTCTTTACTGCAGAACCAGGATGCCCGTTAGGGGCGAACCTAATAGCCTTCTCCAGGGACTGATGCAACCAAAAGTGGGGTAGGAGAGGAGTGCATAAGTACCCATGGGACTAAAGCCAAAAGCTTCATCAATTAGGCTATGTCTACACTATGGACCTTACAGCGGCACAACTGTACTGCTACAGCTGTGCCACTGTTAGGTCTCCTATGTAACTGCTCTTTGCCAGTGCGAGAGAGCTCTCCTGCTGGCATAATTAAACCACCCGAAATGAGCAGCGTTAGCTATGTCAGCAGGTGAGCCTCTCCTGCTGACATAGCACTTTCCACACCAGCACTTTTGCTGGAGAAATTTATGTCGGTCGGGGTGTGATTTTTTTCCACACCCCTGACCGACAAATGTTTTACCGACAAAAGCAGTAGAGTAGGCAAAGTGAGCAGCAGGGGGAGACAAAACAAAGAGACCCAGTGGAGTTGGGTAGGTTAACTAATTTGACTTTCAAGGTTGACCCATCACAGGGATGGTGTGCTGTAGGATGGTAGATGGAAGTTGCTCAGATGTTCATTCTCCTCACCATGGCCCCTACTATACTAAAGCTAGATAAGCCTGGCATAAGGAATAATAGAATGACAGCACCCTGGCAAACTTCAAATGTATCCAAAGGGGAAAGACAAATTCAGTTTGGAGTAGAAATATCAACTCTGAGTGAACATAAAAGGAACAAAAATAGCATTTGATGGAATCAATACTACCACTGCTGTGGTACCTTCATCCATGGGGTATAGCTGGGTAAATCATTGCCCCCGCAGGGCATCATTTTGGATACCATTTCTGAGGGTGGGATAAAAGTACCAGCTAAGAACAAATTACCAGGAGAAGCTGCAGTCCTCAAGAAGAAAGAGCCAATCCCTTTACTCTGACAGAAGTATTATTTTACAGATTGTTTGTGAGAAAGGAAATATTAGGTTCCTAATGGGAAATTCTTAAATATATACTTATACACACAATCAGACTGAATGCAGAGGATTCACACTTGAAATGTAGAGTACCTACAATAAATGTAAGGAAAAGAGATATTAAGGTTAACCATTCGGGTTTCTGGTTTTTAGCACTTTAATTAATGGATCTGCACACTTCATTCCCCAAACAATTTTCTAGCAAAGACCCTATAACTGGTCCCCACTTCTCCTTCTGAAATAATGGCACTTGAAGCTGCTGGACAAGAAAACTTTGCAGCTTCTCCACTTCTGAAAATGTCAGGCAATCTCCCCATGTTTAGTTCTGACTCTTGCTTTATTGACAACCTTATTGATAGAATTTCACAACTTTCTTTTTCCTGAATGAGTGTACTATCATAGCCGGTGTATAAATGTTCTAGAACAATTAGTTTAATGTCTGTTCCATATAGCCTTCCGAGAAAAAGTTTCAATTTTCTGTATAGAATCATAGAAATGTAGGATTGGAAGGGACCTCAAGAAATCCTCATGTCCGGCCCCCTTCGCTGAGGCAGGACCAAGTAAACCTCTAGATGCATTAGCTAATATTTCAAATAAATCTCAGCTTTTATGTACTAAATCCATACTCCACATCCTCCAAATCAAGGAGTTCTGACTTCTAGCCAGAGGCAGCAGCAACTACAGCAGTTCTCATGGGGGATCTGAATCTTGACATCCGATCCTTTTGGGCCGAAAAAAGAATCTTTTGATAGCTGGGTGGTCTTGTTTGTAGCCTTAGCTCTGCCTTCCAGAGCTCCAATTTAACCCGTGAGGTACAGTTACAACATTAGTTACTGTCACTATTTTACCAAAATTGGAGTGCAGATCTGTATCCTAGTTTTGGTTATAAAAGCAAGACGCTAGTCTATTTAAGCCAAAATAATAATAATTTCCAAAGTGGGCAGCCAGTACAAGCAAAGCCAATAGAATAAGTGCGTAAACGATGGCAGATAAGATGTAAAAGAGACTAGGAGAGTTAAGAGCAGAATTCACAAAACCTAGTTAGAGAAGTGTTTTAGGAGTATTTCTGAAATAGAAAGTTATGGGCCCACTAATTTACCGGGGAGTAAAAGGAGCAATCAAAGAGGATAAGAGCACAGAAGAGAAGGGGGGGTGATTATTAGATGTGGAAGGAATTCCCTGCCAGATTTAAAAGATTTGGACTGTTAAACAGGAGATGAATAGGAGTTGACATAACTGACACTATATTGTTTTTGACATTCTTCTATTGGGCAATCCATGTTTATTTCATAATGAAAGTAAAAGGGGACACTTATTGAAACTGAAAGGTAACAAATTTCAGATTGATAAAAGGGATTTTGTTAATATAAATATTACCCTCTGGAATTCACTGACCAGACATTAGGGGAAAGAGCTTAGTAAGATTTAAAGAAAATATAATTTCTTATGGAGAAAAATATCTGCATTTACACTTGTCAGGATAAACTTATAAGGGGGAGTACCCTTTCTTTTTCAGGATGTAAGTCGACCCTTGTCCACCTGCCCACCCCCCGCACAAACACTGTTTGCAGAACAGACTTCCCCATGGACATGTCATCACGTAACTGACCACTATGGAGGTCCTTCCTCTGAAGTGCCTGCTGCTGGCCGTTGTTGGAGATAGGATCTTTCTAGATCCTGGTAATACCCATCACCATTGAATCCGAGCACCTCAAGTGCTAACAGATTTATCCTCTTCCACACCTGTGAGGTATAGTAGCATTATCCCCATTTTACAGATGGGGGAATTGAGGCACAGATGATGAGCAACTTGCCTACAGTTACTTGGGAAGTTTGGAATTCAGTTCCCAACTCTGTCACAATCTCCTGATTCCCAGTTCAGTGTCTTAATCATAAAACCATCCCCAGACTGGTAGACCATTAATCTGATTTCAGCAACTCCCTTCTGCATTCTCAGTGCATATTGCTTTGTATCGAAATAGGGCATAGGGCTTGCAAACAGCAATCAATTACCATTAGCTTGAGCAGTTCACTGCCATGCCGTGTGATTATTAAGCACTTTTGTTCTCAGTTAGTCCTTGTAATGTTTTTCTCTCAATTTCTAGCCTCTGTCTAGCAGTTCCATTTTCTGTGGTTTCCTGTGTAAGGGACTTCTCTCTTTATCACCCATCCACCCAGGCATAGCTATAAAATATGAAATAGCTGTATTTGAGGAAGTTGGAACAGCAGCAGGGTGTGGTTGCACTGGGATGTTTATCTCCTTCCAAAGCTGGGTAGAGCAGAAGCATGTAGGAAGCTGCTGGCCTGTTCCCTGTCCCTAGCCTGTCACACTGCACCCAGAGTTTTTCAAGCCCTTGCCTCAGGGCCTGGTTTATTAATTTGAATACAAAACTGGCAACCAAAGTAGGCTGCAGGGATCCCCAGGAGCCTTTCCCCCTGCTCCAGGGACTTCCACAGGAGTCCACTTGCTTCCTGTGGCTTCTCTAAAACTGAGGTTTCTCAGCCCTGTATAGAAAACACCCATCTGAGAAGGGGCAAGTCTGATACTCAAACATGGCTGCCCCAGGCCCTTAAAGGGACAGACCATCCTATTACATCTGTGTCTAACACATCTGTGCTCAGAGAGCCTGAAAAAAGAGCTTAGTTTGATTGGAAAGTGGGAGATACTTCTAGGCATCTGGTTGAGGTCCACAGCAGCTGACACAACTGTTATAGGGCAAATACAACATGGGCTCACCAAACTGCCCTGGGGCTGGGACTCGCAGGAAGTAAGAGTCATGGCTACCCTGAAAGCTCGTCTGGGCTGGCTTTAGCTTCAAGTGGGGGAGCTGCTAGGGTTGGGTGCTTGAAAGGGGCAGCTGACTGGTCAAGTGAAGGAAAGGCTGTCAGATCCCGCAGCTGGGTGGATGGCAAAGGAGATGCTGAGGGCAGGGGAACTGGTGCTGCGGATCCCATCTCTCTGCTTTTAATATTCTGGGTGGTGAAGTAAGCCTTCCTCCCTGATGTATCTAGTTGCCCTCCCGTGGGAATCTAAAATTCACTCTACTTGCCAATTTGGAAGCATACATTCAAATCAATAAAGGGACATAGTCATCTTAAAAATGACATTACTCCCTGAAAATTTACATGTTACAATACTAGAATAGAATTTGTAACATTAGGTGGAGAAAATATGTATGCACTGGTACTTTTAAGGATTATCAGTTTCCCATCTGGGTGGGTCTTTCACACAGCAGAACAGGAAACGAAAAATTTAAGGAAATAGGAAAACATGATTGCAAAAATCACGCAGCATCACAGAGGTAGCATGGGGCTGTTGGAGGTCCTGAAACCACCTTTAACTCTTTAAATTGACTAGATTTCAAGACTGTGTCCCTCAAACCTGATTGTTGTGTATTTTTGCCCTTCCAGTGGCTGTGATGAGCCTGAAATCCAGTAGATACAAGTAGCACTTGATGTAATTGCATCATATTCCAACAGGTGGCTGTTCAGTTAACACAAATTCTAAATACTACAGATATCAAATAGCATGCATGATTCATACATGATATAATACTTGTATATGTTCTTTGACTGTTAGCAGGAGACGCTTGGGCTGGGGAGTGAATCTAAATG